TCCCTAACATCAAGTTCTGTTTGACTTGGAACTTCTTGTTAAAGTAACTGGCCCATCAAAGAATCTATTTATACAATAATACCATGCATGAGATTTGTGCAAACATAGTGTAACCACAAGACAGGGTAACATCTAAATAATTGCAGGAGCAGAGGCTTGAGTAGGGAAAGCTTTAGAGTTAGAAGCAAAAGATCAGGTTTTTTCCTACATCTTTGATGACCTGTGATGCCCTACTTGGTCTCTGTAAATTAACACAAGAAAGTGAGCTACTTTGCCCCTACCACCCGTTTATCACGGAGTCACATGATAATGCCAAAACAAGTAGCACCCTGCTGCCACTTGCGCTGGTTCAGACACTATTGTCAGTATCTTAAACATACTGACTCATAGAATTCCCACAGCAATGCATACGGCAGTTTCTGTTACAATCTTAATTTACTAATGAAGAAGCTGAGACAGAGGGTGGCTACCCAGCGACCCTAGCATCACTAGCAGACACGAACTCAAAGCCAGTATCTCATGATCTATGAATTTTATCACTTATTTTGTTATAAAGTTCCCTATGCAACGGTCTTAAAAATGCAACAGAAAGGATTGTGCACACACACTCATCCTTGGGCTTGACCTCTGGCCTTTGTGCTGTCCCTGAGCTTTTTTACTCAAGGCTAGCGCTCCATAAGTTGAACCACAAGTCTCATTTCTGGCTTTTTGGAGGTTAATTGGGTATAAAAGTCTCACTGATTTTCTTGCCCTGGCTGGCTTCCAACTGCAACCCTCAAATTTTAGTCTCTGTGTACTTTGGATTACACGTGTAATCTACCAGTGCCTGGCTAACTAGGGGATTTTAATTTTTACCTGTCAAAAATATAAACCTTCAATTTTTATTTTCATTTGGGGATGGTCCTGGGGCTTGAACTCAGAGCCTGAGCTCAGTCGCTGAGTTTTTGTTTTTGTTTTTTTTTTGCTTAAGGCGAGTGCTCTGGCACTTGAGCCACAGCTCCACTTCTGGCTTTTGTATGGTTAATTGGAGATGAGTCTCACGGACTTTCTTGTCCAAACTAGCTTTGAATTGTGATCTTCAGATCACCTCCTCCTAAGTAGGTAGCATTACAGATGTGAGCCCGCAGCACCAAGCTAAATTCTTATAATTTTAAGGCTTTAAGAATATAACTAGGGGGGAGGGGAGAGGCTGGGAAGGGAGGTGAAGGGTAAACAAAGGAGGAGGCTGCAATGCTTGGTAAGAAATGTATGCATTATCCTGCCCATGTAATTGTAACCCCTCTGTACAGTATGTTCACAAATAAAATTAAATTAAATTAAAAAAAAAGAATATAACTAATTTACAAAGTAAGAGTAGAGTCATATACTCTTCAATGTATGTAAGCCATTCAGTTTTAGGAAATTCTTGGTATCTGTGGGTCACCATCAAAGCTCTGTGTGTGTGTGTGTGTGTGTGTGTGTGTGTGTGTGTGTGTAAGAGAGAGAGAGAGAGAGAGTGTGTGTGTGCGTATATTTCCCATCAAGTCCTGGATTATTTTTTGTGATCAGGCAACTGGATAGTTGGTTCAACTGGCAGGTTTGCTTGGTCAAAGGGTCAAGTGATTTTTTTTTAGGTACAATAACAAATAGTTGAATACATAATAACTATCATCAGATAATCTTATGATCCTGAGCAATATAACACACAGGATCTAATAGCTCATAAGTCAGACAGGTAGCACTAGTTGCCTAAATTTTATAGGGTTTCTAGAAGGGTATTATCTTTTCGGATTGCTTGAATGTCTGTAATAAAATAAGAAAAGTATACCAGGCCTCAAGAAGCAAGATGCATAAGCCTAAAAGAGGCAGTGTGTCACAAACCGTATGTAGACACTGAGCTGAATTGGGTAGTGGGAATTGTTCAAGTCTGAGCCACACTGAAACTAAACATGGGGTCATTAGATGGATCCTGTCTTCAAGATCAAAGGACAACACACAAAGCAAACCAACTCATTATCATTTCATAGTTCAAATCAGTTAACTAGGACTTTCTCTCAATTTATCCTATTTTCCCATTTTATATAATTACTATAGACGTTTGTCAACCAGCAAAGATTTATCTAGTCGTTTATTTAAAAGATATGAAGTTAATTGTAAAACAGGGATACAGGTGGACCCATTGCAACAATGAGATGTGCAAGTCATTATGTCACTTTACAACTTTGGTGGGGGAGAGGGGGAGGATACGAAGGGATGGGAAGGGGAAACAAAGGAGGAGGCTACAATGCTTGATAAGAAATGTGCTCATTATCTTGCCCATGTAATTGTAACCCCTCTGTACAGCATTTTCACAATAAAAATATATTAAAAATAAAATAAATAAAATAAAAGATATGAAGTTGCATACCCCCATCTAGTGAGATGAGCTCTTTGGAGTGGGATCAGGAGACTTGAGCTCTGTTGTAGCATTCTGCCACTGATCTATTATTGCATGACTTTGTACACCTTCTTTAACTTTTCAGAGCATCCTTTATTTCTTTTTAGTCTATAATGGGAGGGATTTACCTGAATGGCTTCTCGGGATCCTCCAAAGTTGGATATTTTTGTAATTCTATGGGCATATATATATATATATATATATATATGTATGTATGTATACATATATATATCAAGGCATCTTTTGAGTTTATGCAGGAAGATGGTTGCATTAAAACTGAGTGGACACTCACCTTTTCATCCTTGTAGGCATGTATCACTGAAAGGACTTAGTGGAGATTTCTGGAGCCAATGGCCTGCAGAAGTGCAGAGCAGGGGTGGTAACTCCAGCTTAGTGTCAGCAATTGTTATACAGCGAGAAAACAGAGAAGCCACATTTTGAGAGGTAGATGATAGGATCTTTATTAGAAGGCCAGCAAATGCAGGCGGACTCTTATCACAAAGACCTGTTGCCCTGCAAATGCACTTAACACTGTCAGAAAACTGAGCCATGAGAACAGGAAAGGAAAGAAAGAACAGAAAAAAAAACCCACCAGATCAGCTCCAATGGAGAGCTGAGATAGGATGCCATGATGCCAGGTGGAGAGCCAGGAGACAGGACACAAGCAGGCAGGAGGCACGTGGCCTGGTATCCCTACGCCGGAGCTGTTCCAGGCCTAAAGAGAGGCTGGTCAGGGGGCAGGATCACAGGGAGCTTGAGAATTCATGACCCAAGACCCCACTCCAAGTCCCCACCCCAGCCTCTAGGAATTCAGGCATGCCCATCATCTGGGAGTTGGGACTTCTCCTCCACCATGGAACCAAGATGGCACCAGTTAAGCTCAATACTGTATCATCCACCACATGGCCAAGATAGTGCCAGTTAGATCCAGCATCCCTACTTCACAATAAAGTGTGCATAGTTTTAGGGATAACAAAACAATAATAAAGCCAACTTAAAGTAGGTCAGGTTTTTCTAGTCACTATCTGCCAGCAACACACCATGATGTTGGTGGTAAGGTTTAGCTACATTATTGAGTTTAATAACATACGTGTAAGCTTTAAATTAACATATTGTTTAGTAATGATTCTTTGATGCTGGATGCCATCAGTCACTGACAGAAATAGAGTCCACTTTTTGAGGGAGAATTCAGGATGGCTCAAATCTTTTTGAGTACCCTTCTGGTGTTAATAGTTTTTTCTGTCCTGCAAGGTTGAACATTCTGGTGTTTAAAGACCAGATTCAAGCCTTGTGTCAGTGGCTCACTCCTGTAATCCTAGCTACTCAGGAGGCTGAGATCTAAAGATCACGATTCAAAGCCAGCCCAGGCAGGATGTCCATGAGACTATCATCTCCAATAAACCACCAGAAAACCAGAAGTGGCACTGTGGTTCAAGTGGTAGAGCACTACCCTTGAGCTGAAGAGCTGAAGGACAGTGCCCAGGCCCAGAGTTCAAGCCCCATGACAGAAAGAAAGAAAGAAAGAAAGAAAGAAAGAAAGAAAGAAAGAAAGAAAGAAAGAAAGAAAGAAAGAAAGAAAGAAAGAAAGAAAGAAAGAAAGGAAGGAAGGAAGGAAGGAAGGAAGGAAGGAAGGAAGGAAGGAAGAAAGAAGGCAGGGAGGGAGGGAGGGAAGGAAGGAAGGAAGGAAGGAAGGAAGGAAGGAAGGAAGAGAGAAAGAGAGAAAGGACTCAAAGCTGGGTGCTGGTGATTCACACCTATAATCCAAGCTACTCAGTAAACTGAAATCTGAGGACTGATGTTCAAGGTCAGCCTGGGCAGGAAATATATGAGATGCTCATGTCCAATTAACCACCAAAAACTGGAAGTGAAGCTGTGACTCAAGTGGTAGTGCTAGCCTTGGGGAAAAAAGCCTAAGCCCTGAGTTCAAGCCTCAGAACTAGCATTTAAAAAAAAAAAAAGGAGTAGACTCAGACAGAAAAATGAGAGCATAGGAATTGCTAAAACCACAGAGTATCTTAACTTTTGTAAGAACAAATTTTAGCTCAAACATGAAACAGTTTACTGAATCTGAATAAAAACTTTGGAGCCAAAATATATTTCTGTTTTATTATCTTAGTTTTTGTTGTTGTTATTGGTGGTCATGGGGCTTGAACTCTGGGCCCAGGTACTATCCCTCAGCTCTTCAGCTCAAAGCTAGTGCTCTACCACTTGAGCCACAGAGCCACTTACTATTTTTCTGGTGGTTAATGAGAGATAAGAGTCTCATGGCTTCAAGCTGGCTTTGAACTGCGATCCTCAGATCTCAGCCTCCTGAGTAGCTAGGATGACAGGCAAAGCGCCCGGCATTTGTTTTATTATCTTAAAGATAAAGAATGGGGATTGGAGACATGGCTCAATTGGTAGAGCACTAGCCAATGAGCAAAAGCATCAGGTACCAAGTGTGAGTTCCTGTCTCAGACCTAAAAAAAAAGTAGAGAATGAATCAAGGAAATAATTATGATTACTACTGAAAATAATTATTCAACATGGGCAGGAGAGATTGAAAAGTACTTATTCTGATGCTTCCTTCCTCACATTTGTACAGTTGCTGCCCAACAGCCGCCAAAGCACAAGCAACCAAAGGAGCAAGGAGAGAATAGAATCAAGCCTACTACCAAGAAGATGAAACCCAAGCTTCCTAAGGTGAAGGACAGGGACTCAGCTGATTCCACACCAAAGACGCCATCGATCATGATGTTAGTGTTGGATAAAGGCCGCTACCAGAAACCTCCTGCCACCCTCAGTCTGATGGCGGGACAAACTGTAGAGCTTCGATGTAAAGGGAGTCCGATTGAATGGAGCTATCCTGCGTACCTCAACACCTTTAAAGACTCTCGCCTCAGGTAAGGTTTTCTCCCCCCACTCCCACCTTAGTGTTTTTGATCCTGGTGTTTAAAGAATAGCTTCAAGGCTGGGTGCTGGTGCCTCACACCTCTAATTCTAGCTCCTCAGAATGCTGAAATCTGAGGATCCAGAGATCCTGATGACTTCAACCAACAAAAGCTATAGCATCTGCCCCCACACACAGATGATTGCAATTCCACCAACGTTATAATTTGGTGTTTCTTCTTTTTTTAATATAGTATTTGTGCCCATCAACATTTGTGTTCATCAGCAGATTCCTGACAACTATATCAGTGTCTGACACAGGACCAGAAATCCGGAGCTCTTGTTCTGTTTCCCTATGGTCTCATGCTCCTCTCGTGAGCCATGCAGTCATTCATGCGACATTTCAACCTACACACGTAGGACCCTCGTGCATTCCATGCATAGTGAGTGTGACGGGCCAATGAGAAGCCCTGTTTTGTATCGACCATGCTGTGATAGCTAAACCCAGCTCCAGGTCTCCATCTTGCCCTCAGAGAAGCATTAGTTAATCCCTTTGCTTCCTCCCCTGTACCTACCCAGCCCCAGTTCTGTTTCCACATCTCTCTATTCATCGAAGATTTCTGGAGTCTATCTTTTCTACCAGTAACAGTGTCCGAAGTTCTTTTTAGGTTTTGTTCTTCTTTTTTCCCCACTGGGAAATTTCTAATCCCAACTGAACCTGTGCACCTTCTCTCTCTCTCTCTCTCTCATTGGCATGTGGTCCGATGGACATCGTTGGCTTCGGGGCATTTCCATTCTGCCTGCCAAGACTGAGTATATCTCAGTAGTGAGCTCACATTTCCTCTCTTCTTTTATCTCTGAGCTCCATCTTTCTCACCTTCAGCTAATGAAGTCATCACCTAGTTTATGCCAAACTTGGAGTTCTCAAAATGCCTTAACTTCCCTTACAGCTCTTTCTTTGTCTTCCATTACACTGGAGGATGAGTTTCATCTTCTAAGGTCCAAAGCTCTGTCAGTGCCCTTGAACTCATCCTTCCAGACTTTCTCAGGGACTTGAACACATTCATTTACTGTCACTCAGACCTTCACCTTCAACCTGTGCATCTTGACTGGATCCTTCCCATAAACCGTCACAAAAATTCAATCCCGCCAGGCACCAGTGGCTCATACCTGTAATCCTAGCTGCTCAGGAGGTTGAGATCTGAGGATCATGGTTCAAAGCCAGCCCAAGCCAGCTGGCTTTGAACTGCAGTCCTCAGATCTCAACCTCCTGAGTAGCTAGGATTACAGGTATGAGCCACTAGCACCAGCATTTTCATTTGTTTTAAATTGACATAATAATTGGCCTATCTGTCAAGTATAGTGTCACTGTAACCTTATACCTGTCATCTCACCCTGCCCGCTTCTCCCCACAACCCTCCTTAGCTTCTGGTTACCACTCAGATAAGGAAACTGGTGAAGAATGACAAACTAGTAAGTGGCAGTTCTGAATCCTAGAACTCATTCCAGTCTTCTGGTTCTTGAGGTTGAGCTTCTGCCCTACTTCAGTGTTCTGTGGTCTGTCTTGTGCCAAGGTCACTTTTGACCCGATAGAACTCTAGATTGCTTGTCTATCATTTTATTTCTAGGCTAGATAAGAATAAATAAATCTCATTTCAAGCTTAAGATTCAAAAAAGGAAAGAATATATATATATATATGTATATGTATGTATATATATATACATATATATGTATATATATACGTACTTATCCAAGAAGGTTGCATTGTTATCTTTCTGGAATACCTTTGAATTGATGTGCCTTGGCTTCAAAGAAAAAAAAATCATTAGATAGGCCACTAGGTGGCAGGCTTCAGCCATGCTTCAATTTTCTTCAGTAAAAGATTCAATTAAAGATTGGATGGATAAAACCAGCTCACACTTGAGCCTATGGCACTTTCATCCTATTAGACTACACAGATTCACAGATTCATGTTAGACTACACAGATTCACAGATTCATGTTAGACTACACAGATTCACAGATTCATGTTATACTACACAGATTTCACAGATTCATGTTGCATTTTAACTTATGGAGAATTCCGGCCAAATTAAAAGGGTGAGAAGTTGTACATTTATGTAGCCACAGAAGCATAAATTCATGTCTAGCCCAGAATCCTATGAGGTCTTTCAAAAGCAATAGCTACATTGAACAGTTTAATTTGTCCTTCAGAGGTATACAGTAACTTGATGGAGACTGTATCTTCAGGTGTTGAAATTGATTCAGTTTTCATTTTCACATAGGATGTACTCCTGATCACATAAATAGCCTCTGTCTTTGAGACTGGAAACTGGAAAATAAAAAATCTGACAATACTTACCATTTATTGACTACTCTATTTCCTGGCTCTTCTATCTCTTCTTTTTCCAATGAATTTTCAAAGCATCTGCTATGTCCAAGACCCCATGCGAAAATGATGTTGGGGATGTGATGGTAAGCAAAATAAATACAATCTGCTTTTATTTTATTTATTTTATTTTATTTTTATTTTATTTTTTTGCCAGCTGTGGAGCCTGAACTCTGGGCCTGGGCGCTGTCCCTCAGCTCTTCTGTTCAAGGCTAGTGCCCTACCACTTGAGCCACAGCACCACTTCTGGCTTTTTTTTTTTTTTCTGCTTATGTGGTGCTGAGGAATCGAACCCAGGGCCTCATGCATGCAAGGCAAGCGCTCTACCACTGAGCCACCTTCCCAGCCCTACAATCTGCTTTTCATGTGTAGGAGGACAGCAGTGTGTTTGCCTTGCTAACAGAAGTACTGCACCAGGGAGGAGAAAACTCAGTGATATGTGAAGATTGAGAGTTAATAAGATAGAGGAGGATGTAGAAAAAGGCAAGAAAATTCCAGAAGGAGAAAATGACCCTCAAGAACCACCTAGAAGTGAAAGAAAGCATAGCACCTAGAACATGGAGGGATAAGATAAAGTGGCGACAGGCAAAGGAAAGGGGAAGGAAGCTCCAAGGAAGAGAGGATCCTGGGAAGTGAGCAGGAACTACACGGAGAGCCTTGTTCTTCATGTGGAGCAATTGAGAGTAGAATCTAGGGAAGTGGTACTGTGGTTCCAGTGGTAGAGCGCTAGCCTTGAGGACAAAGAGGCTCAGGGACAGTACCCAGGCCCTGAGCTCAAGCCCTACAACCGTTGAGAAAGAGGTGAGGGAGGGAGAGGGAGGGAAGGGGAGGAAAGGGGAGTCTCTGCTCCTGTATTCCCACAATCCATTTTTACCTTCTCCAGAAACATCCCATTTTGATCGTACCATACTACATCTCCAGAGTCTAGAGCAGGGGAGTTTTCTGACACCATGCTGAGCCAGGGAAGAAAGTAAGAAGTTTATAGCAGTTGGCCTGGCCAGTGGCTTGAATGAATGGATGCTGGTAGGAAGAAGGAGACATGGGAGACTTGGCTGGGTTGTTAGTGATCTCACAGCAGAAGGCTGAGCTCATACCATCATCCTGCTCCCTAAAGGGTCCAGGCATTGTCTTTAGGAGGCCTTCCATGGTGCCTGGTGGTGGTGGTTGGTGGTGGTTGGTGGTGGTGGTGGTGGTGTGTGTGTGTGTGTGTGTGTGTGTGTGTGTGTGTGTGTTTTCAGACAAGAACTGGAAGTCGGGAGGAGTGGGTGGGGCACAACTGCCTTTGATGGTGGGTTCCTCTGAAAACAATAAATAGCTCTAGCAAGAGAAGGCTTCTGCATTTTCATTTGGCTGCAGTTGGCAAGAACTTTACTACCCCACCCACAGTGCACACAAAGGAGGGTGGCTGAGGAAGCAGACTGCGGGCTCCTGGCCAGTCTCAGCAGGCTGCCTCTTCAACATGGGCAAAGAGAAGGGTCTGGAGGCACTTTAAAAGGAAAAGAAGGATGTTATGAAATGTTTATAAACAGAAGGATCCCACTGTTGAGGGAAAAAAAAAAATCTTCATCCACTTTGGTAAAGATCATCAGCACGCTGATAGGCCTACTGAGTGTATGAAATGTATACGGTAACTTTTTTTAATATAAAAAAGTATGTGATAGCTTTGCACTCCCACCTGTTGTATCTTGGGAAACTATACATAAAATTAAATGTATAACTTTTACAAATCATTTTTAAGCATAGTTCTGTACATTGATGTGCAACCACATGGTTAGGCAGGTGTCTTTTAAGTTTGTGCTCTCTTTCAAAGCTGGCTCTTATTTTCTGAGCAGACCCATTAAAGATGACATGTCTCTCCTTTTGCTCTCCTCCTTACCTGGAGAAGTCATGTTCCCAGTTCACAATGGCAAATGAAAGGCATATGCTAGCCAGGCACCCCCTAGATGGACTCCTAGCTACTTAACAGGCTGAGCTCTGAGGATCACAGTTGCAAGCTAGCCTGGGCAGGAAAGTCGGAGAGACTCTTCACTCCAATTAACCACCAAAATCAGGAAGTAGAGCTGTGGCTCTAGTGGTAGAGTGCCAGCCTTGGACAAAAAAGCTAAGGGAGTAGCATCTAGGCCCTAGTTCAAGCCCCAGTACACCACACACACACACACACACACACACACACACACACACACACACACACACACACACAAACACAGTTCAGCTAAACTTTGATCCATTCAGATTGAGAACAAATAACTCATCACAGCACCCCAGAACCCCAACATGTCCTGTGAGATAGACTAGCAGGAGTGAGCAGATGAGGCTCCTCGGGTGGACTGACTGTCCTCACAGTGTTGAAGTTGCAGAACAACACAGCCATGTTCCATTTTGGACATGGGTGGAGGAAGGTAATAATAGAACCAGTCTCACTTTGCTGTCAGGATAAAATGAGGTCATGTGCGTTAGCTACTTGGCACACACAGTAAGCTGCCTCATTAATGAGCTATTTTTACTCCTCCTCCTGTACCCCCAGAAAGGTAAATCACAAGAAAGTAGCCCATTCACCAGAAAATGGTTAATGTATGTGTCTCAATCTCCTATAAACTCTATATGAGGATTCTAGAGTTAAAGAGG